AACATCATCTGTTTTATATACCACTAGGTCTTTGTATAACATCAAAATTGACTTGTGATATCAAGCTGAGTCCTATTTATATCCAGAGATTAGGCATTTAGTTCTAATTCTGAAAGTGAGAATCCTTTAAAAGGAAATCCTCAAGTTGTTAAAGGAGTGAAACCACCTACGGCTTTTTCATCCCGTTTCGGAGTACTTTGGGAAAGTAGCCAAAATTCTCATTTTCCCGGTTTTCACTGTTCTACAAAACGTAGTAATTATCACCATGACAATATCTCATGTCTTTTACAAAAGCATCCAAAATCACTTGACAATTAAATCCATTTACATGTTTAATCTGAGATGCTGGCTGAATTTAGAACCTTACTTCCCCAAATTGTTTTTTTTTTTAAATGTAAGAACTAATAGAATCCCTCATTAATACAGTAGGATTTGGCATTTTTGCTTCATTGATCTAAACTTGGGTTAATTTTAGCGCATCAGAAACACAGTCATCTTATGGAAGTTATTGTATTCCATGTACAAGTTTGAAATTTGGAGAGGGGAAGGGTAATAGCTCAGAGATAGAGTGTGTGCTTCGCATGCAGGAGGTCTTGGGTTCAATCCTCAGTACCTCCATTTAAAATAAGTAAAAAAAAAAAAACTCAGAAAAAAAATGAAACATAGAAGAGAGGCTAGACTGATGAAACAAGACTAAAAGGAGTATGAGGGGTGGTGTTAATAAAAGAGAATCATTCACTTAGAAATGAGCATGCTAGGAATAATCAATACATAAATTGCTATAAGTTGTGCAATCTAACATCTGTTTCCCTGGGCAAACTTTCTCCTCCCTAATTGTAAAGTGTTCATTACTCAAATGTGCCAGATAAATATTTATTGTAAGATGTAATTGGTGCTAAGACTGAAAGAATACTGCTCATGTTGTATGACTCATGCTCCCTAAGTCATGGATCCATTTAAAGAAGGACAAGCCTTCTGAGATGCACTCCCCTCCTGGGTCCCCAGGTTCTGCTAGGTCAAGTGGTGAATAAAGCTGACCTCATACACTCTTCACACACCTCCATCTCTATAGACTACATTGGTGATTCCATGGAATTAGAGTTTATTTAAAGATGACCGGTATTTCTAGATGTCCTATATTGGCATCAACCCTGTGTTAATATTCAAGTTCTGAATGGGATTAGCAGATACAAGGTGAGAAGCTAGGAATTGGAACTCAGCGTGGCCAAGTCATTTATTGAATGAAGTGATGCAGGTGTTGTAAAAATAGACTCAGAAAAAAAGAGTAAGAAATGTATCCTAAGACCGCTGTTTCCCCTTTTATTATTTGTATTTATTATCTTTTCCTTTCCTGTATCAGTAAAAAAAAATTTTTTTTTCTGGATCATTACTGTGCTTTTGAATATATAAAATTGGCAAAGAGGAAAAAAAATAGTTCTCTTTATTCGTGGAGAAAATAATTGTATAAGCAGCCCAGGTTTCTGTTTTGCCTTGACAGCACCCAGCCAATATTGCTTAAACCTGCCCAAGAAAAATTCTCTAGGGCTTTAAAGGAAGAATTAGACATGAACCTTATTTCATTTCCTAGTCACCATGAAGTCCTGCAAGGACTTTGGAGACCTTGGATGAATGATTCATGCCACAGCAGTGACCTCATGTCCACTGAGAGGTGGTACTTCTTTATTGCTATTTACCAAGGCGGCCTCCCACAAAGAGGCCTTGACTAGGGTGACTCCTCTCTCATCAAAAACTCTCCCAGTAAATCCCCTCTGACATTAAAAATGCTGTGTCCTACCTTTGGTGAGTTTTCAAAACTGCAGACCCGGCACCTCCTAGTGAATAGCTATTCCCCTATTTGCAGTAAAAAAATAAATAAATAAATAAATAATCCAACTGTATTTTACCCAGTGTGAAGCTTGAGATTTTTTTTTTCCTGGGTTTGGCGTATAAATCGTGTTTTACAAATACAGTTTACATAGTCTTGCTGATCTCTCCCTTGCCATTGAGTACCTGAACCTACAGTAATAGCGCTCTAAATGTTTTGCTTCTCAGCAGAAAACGATTTATTTCGTAACGTTACAGCCACCCCCCATTTAAGTGAGGATGGTGCTGAGGTGACTTATGAGAGTCTCAATTTTACAGCACCAGTGTCCTTATTAGAGTTCTTCATGGATGAATCAAAAATCTAAAAATATTCTTCTTTCATCCATTAAAGATTTTTCTCCCCATAGTCACACTTCTGTGATTATGTCCAAACTTTTCTTCCCCTTGCAACCAAAGGAATGGATTTGGATAATACGGCTGCCATCTAAGCTATATAGTGTTCATCCATAAGATGACAGAAAGTCTGAAGAGTATTCTGAACACTCAGAGAAAAGCCCGGATTACTGATTCTCCTCCCTCCTTTCAAGCCACTGCTGAACACAACCTTCCTGTGATATCAGCAGGCTTGTATTTTAGTTGTCGCAATCGCTCTCAGTTTCTCTGCATCCAGGCAACCCATCTCTATTCTTAACTTACATCCTGGAAGGCTTCTCTCAAGTAAATAGGACACAGCAGAACACCGTGCAAAGCAATTTTACTAAAAAGCCGACATCAGTTCAAAGGCTTTCTCTGGTTTCACTAAGGTTTTAATTGACATACACATTTAGAAATTCAAATCACTGATTTCCAACAGTCCTCATTTAGTAATGACTGACCTCTTAGCCACGCTTAAAATTAAAATTCAAAAGGGAAAGTTTTCGTTTATTCGACAAATACAACACATTACATATTACCAGTATCAGTTTGTTAAGCATGATTGTAGCTTCATATTTACCCTGGGTAAGCAGACAGAGGTCCAACAGTGTCTTGCTAACCACAGAAACTCTGCAAACAGAATCTTTCTGGAACAACTGTTGTGTGTAAAATTAGCTTTGTTTAAAATTCACATCCAAATACAACGTGAGTCTATTTATCACATTATCTTCCTTTTCCACATCTAAAAATCATGTAACACTCTAAAGCAGTCATTCTCTTTATCTTCATTTTATAAGCAACTGCTTAATTTGCATTAACAAGCTAAACAATCACCACTTCGCAGAAACAGCATTTGCAATGAAAATACCTGCAGTCCAACTATTTACAACTGGAGTATTTCTGAAACTAGCTATAGCGTTGAAAAGGCAAAAAATCTACAAGTGATGAAAGAGTTCACTTCCCAAAATAACCCCTAGTTTTCTTTTTTAAATTATTCTGCTGTCTATTGCAATGGAAGAACGAACCCCAGCTCTTAGTGGCTCAAAATGATCACTTTATTTTCTTCATAAACTTGAGAGAAAGGAATTTTAGAAGAACTCATCTAGGTCATTTGTCCCTGACTTACATCGCATCAGCTGGAAGGGGTCATTAGGGATGCAGGTGCCACTGAAAAGTGGCTACTTCACCATGAAACGGGATATTTAGCTTCTTTGGTCTTTCTCTCTATGAAGCATCTTATTGTCCAGGGTAGCCCTTCACGGCCTGAGCATCTCTTCTCATGATGTGGAAGTCTCAGAGCAGCTGTACTCCTTACCTGGTGTCAGACAAGAGCAACTGTCTGACAAAGTGAAAGTTGCCAAAATTTTATGGCTCACCCTAGAAAACTGGCTCAGCATCACTTCCACCTTATCCTGCTTGTCAAAACAGAGAGGAAGCCCTTACAGAAATCAAGGCGCAGAGAAACAGACCCTCCCTCTCAAAGGGACATCAATAACTTGTGGCTGTCAGTCTCCCACAGCAACAGTTTTCTCCCACTAGTCTCTTACGTCCTGTAGAATAATTCTACGTGAGACCTGATGAACTGTAGTTAAAAGATGTTGAAAGGCTTCTCTCCCAAATCTCTACTGTAAGAAAGGGCTGTACCAAAAGCTTCCAATGCTCATGATCAGCTACAACAAAGACGCTGCTCTAGTTACAGTCTATAAATCATGAAAATTCCCAAGCAAATTGACTCGAGAAATCTGGTCATCCTTGTTCCTCCGAAGAGTAGACAGTCAGATTGCCGACTGCTGAACTCTTTGTCATGCACTTTGCTTTCATGTCTTTTTCCTTTCCACAAAGTTGCCCAGAAGAGAAGCAGCCTCCAATTCTACATTCACGTCTACTCTTCAACTCCATGGGATACATAACGATCTCTCAAAACCTCCTTACCACTCTGATGACACTGATTTCCCATAATTCCATAGTTCAGCCCCACACAGAAAGCAAAGCCAGTTTCCCCTTTTTGACAAATACTTGTCATGAAGAGGGAGAAACCCTTTTCTTTTCCCTCACGGAAAAGGGACAAAGTTTTGACCCCTGTCTCTCGTGCCTGCAATTGATAACTCAGTCTTTCCTTCTTCAGTTGATCCATCTTTTAAATAGAGTTTGGCAATAGGTGACAGAATTTTTGGTTGCAAGATATTATCTCGCATAGCTTTATAATATGGAGATGTGTATCTCCTACCTTTCTTAATTTTGGGGCTTCAGCAAACTTCTGAGATAATTTCATGTTACATCAGCCTATAACTCAAGAGGAGTTTGGTCTAAATGTTCAGACTATATTTAAATGAGATTTAAGGTCATATTAAAGGCCAAAATCACCTAGAAACATGATATAGAAAGGAAAAAAAGAGGACCTATTAGCACACAGTAGGAAATCCTACCATTTATAGTTCTAATGGCATTTTAGCTCTAGTGGAGGAAGATAAGGAGATATGAAAGGAGCCCAACTGTGACTACAGTTACAAGAAAACATTCAAGAGAGCATGTCATGGAAACTAAAGATTAGGGTTCTCACTGAAGCTAAATAAATTTCCTCTATCTTGTTTAAGCCAAAAGGGATTAAAAATACTATGCAGTTTACACTATTTTGGGGAAGACAGCAGACTTGAGCCTGGCTGTGTAACAGCCCTAAAGAGATTAACCAGAGAAAAATAATCAAACCCATCTTGACCCTCCATAGCTGTCGTCTCACTGAATATGGCATCTGTGGCATTAGGATGAGAAAACTAAGAACTCTACCACACTTGCTCAGAAGAATCAGATGTATCTAGTACCATACTTGTCTGTATATCCAACATGCCTGCCTTAACACCTGACCTTGAAATCCTACCGGTCATCAGTACAATGAAAAGCCATTTCATTTTATTGGGGGGAACAGGAGCTACCTGGCAATTTGTCAAGAGGTAAATAGGATATTAGAATGTGGATAAAGTTTATATATAAAGTCCTGAAAGATTTGACACTGAAAGACAATGGAAAAATCAGATTACAACCAGAAGCAGGCATTTATTAAATAAAGATTTTTTTTCATTTGCTTTTCTTTAGGATAATAGATATTAGCATACACTGATGTACTAATGAGAAAACACAAGCATAGTGAGATTAATAAGGTATAGATTAAGATTCAAAATCCTTAAGGCAAGAGATAATGGAAAAAAGATTGTATTTTGAGTGACTGGTCTTTTATTGAGAAAACTCTTCCTTGGAAATGAAAGGATGGATGAAGGTGAATATATGCAAAATTAAGCTTTTAGGTGAGGATAGAAAAATAGAAGCGTGCCAGCTATATACTTCATTTCCTTAAAACATAAATTTCATCATTAGCTGATACAATGATTGGAAGTGAAAAGTGGAGTAATCTCAGATATCTGGAAGGAAAGATAAGTTTTTTAAGAAAAATAGTACTAAGATTACCACGCTGTGTTTAGAGTTCATCTAATTATGATTTTAATGTGAATCCAGTCTGTTAGGTTATATGATTTGGGTGTGATTAAACTAACGGATCAGAGAGTAACCAGGATAAAATGGGGGGAGAAGACAGGAGGTTGATAAATAGTAAGAAATTCAGGACATGACCAAAGTAGAGGCCCTTATATGTTCAAGAATATTTAAGCAGAAATACTTCAGTAGAGAGGAAGGATAGGGAATTGCGGCGACAGAATAGAACACACACTTTTAGGATTTTGACATTGTTTAGAATGTGGTGGTGATACATTCTGTGACCTTGGAGTGTCTGAAATATAATGTGCTGGGGAGACGGACTGTCCATGATGATTGATGCTAGGAAACTGAATAAACTGAGACCAGAAAACAGGCTGGATCATTCACAAAGATGCCTATGGCTCCAGGTAGAATTACTGGAGTTCACAGGGAAAGAAACTGAGAATCAGTTTGATAATTCAAGTTTTCATTGACTGAGTGGAACATTTGTTGAAATCAAGAAATGAGACCAGAAAGTCGGCAGATGAAGAGGAGAAGAGCCTGGTATCTCTGTTGTGAACATCAGGCAAGTGAGAGGATGGAAGGTTAGTATTTTGAAGTATTAATGATGAACAAGGAACACAATTTCTTTTAGATTCACATTTTGCTAGAAAGGATAAGAAAAAGAAAAAGGTTCAAAAACTAAATATAATTATGTAATATGGTAAGTTTTATAAAGTTTTCCTGTGATAGCTCTGGACAAACAATGAAGATAAATGACTTGGCTGAAGTGTAAACTGATTAATTTACAACTTTTTGAATAGTCTTGATCTCCAAGTATTGAATTATTGATCAATGATAGCACACAGGAAATGTTTAAATGACATTGTAAAACCTGGTCCTTCACTGTACCCCATACAACTTGTTTGTTCCTTTAATCAATGACAGATATATGAGGAGACATCAGCAGGTGGTGGGAAGCTGACGGGGGACACTGACTGTTTTAGTTGTGAGGGACAAAAGAATCAGAATCCAAAACAATCACAAGTGTCTGGTAGGGTCAACTAGAATAAATTAAATACAAAAAAGTTTATCTTAACAGTTCCTACATGGTACGTACAAGATAGTGAGAATCACATTCTGCTCTGTTCTGTCCAGAAAGAGTACTGATGCTATTGCATTCAGATTTAGATGTCTCATTTTTAAATTAAATCTTAAGCTTCTGAGCATTTGCCCCCTGGCCTTGTAACTGGTTTTCAAGGGCACCACATTCCTTACCACATCGTGGACTTTAAACTTACTTTCTCTCTCCCTAAACACACCACTCCCTCTACCCCTGGTATCAGTACAGCCAGTCATCTCAGTGCTCCTGAGAAGGTGTAAACACTTAGATTGGGGTAGACACATATACACGCACACACAAACATGCTCATCAAAGCTTGGTTCCCCGGTGTCTAACGTGATACCTGCCATCAGAGGGCTTCTGACCAAATCTTCTGATTTATTACCTTGTTGAAAAAGCTCTTCTTTTAGAAGATTAAGATCTAAGTTGTTCTGGTGTCGTAGCAAAAGGTAGACCTGAGCAAAGCAGTTTAAAGCTACCGGGGCAGAGTTTAGCTCAACAATTGGGAACGTATTCTAAGAGGAATAATTATCCAACGCATAGACTACTTATAAAAACACTGACTTTTCCGTCATTAAAATGTTCATACATTTTTATTTATTCCTTAGGAACATTGCCTTTCACATAAAAGCATCTCAAAATTAGAATGTCTTGCATGTGATATGGTCTTAAAATTATTATAGTTATTATTTCCAGGTATTCCTGACCACCCAAAATTGTCAGCATTAAACTTGAAGAATAGCTGTTACTGGATGGAAAGGCAATCCTAAGTGTCACCTTCCAGGAGTCAAACAGCCGTGGGAAGAGTTGGGTCCACAGCGATTAGATGTGCAGTAACATTCCTGAAGCAGGCCAGTGGTGTGCTGCTCCCAAGGCTACAGATAAACAGGGGATGATTTTATGTGGAAAAAAATAACCATCTTTGACTTGTGAGTTGGTTGATTCAAAATAACAATGTTTTAGGAGTGCAGAAATTTTAGAATTCATTAACCAAATGATGTGTTTTTATTTTGTTTTTGATGTACTCACGAAAGTAATGTATGAAAAAAATCCATGTCTGGTAAGTTTTAAAGAAGCCTTTAATAAGTATATAACTTAAATGCTGAGAAAGCATTCCAGAGTAGCTTAATTGGCAGTGTTTTTTTTTCCTTTCAAATGGTAAAGTAACGCATGACCAGCAATCAACTTTATATTCTATTAAGTATGATTTAGATTCTAGATTATGCTACCTTTAAAAGAGGCTGTTGAAGAGCGTACACTGGAAATGTCTGGACAAGTGGAACCTAACGTATTGCAATTGCAATTTAACTTTAAATTTATTTGCTTAATGTTTTGGGCTGAATAGCGTCACAATGAAGATGTGCTTAAGTCCTACCCCCAGGACCTGTTAATGTGACCTTATCTAGAAACAGAGTATGCAATCGAGTTAAGATGAGGTTATATTAAACTAGAGCCCTGATTCCAACAGGACTAGTGTCCTGGTAAGAAGAGAAACGAAAGAAACAGGGAGAACACCATGAGAAGACACAGAAATCCAGAGGGAAGAGGGCCATGTGAAGCTGGAAACGGATCGGAGGTGTGACGCTGAAAGCCAAGAACACCCGGGGTGACCAGAAGCGGAAAGAAGCAAAGAAAGGATCCTCCCCTGGAGGTTTCCAAGGAAGCATGTCCCCGACAAAACCTCAATTTTGGACTTGTAGTTTCCAGAAATCTGAAATAATTCATTTCTATTGCTTTAAAATCTGTAGTTTCCTAGAGTTGCCACAATAAAGTGTGACATGCTGGGTAGCTTTAAACCGCAGAAATGTATTCTTTCACTGCTCCAGAGGCTAGAAGTCTGAAGTCAAAATGTTTGCAGAACCATGATCTCTCAAAGACTCTAGGGGAGGATTTATTTACTCTGTCTTTTTCTTCGCCCGGGTGTCACTGCTAACAATCCCCCGCTTTTCATAGTTTCAACAGCGTAACTCTGTCTCCATCATCTCATTCTCCCCGTGTCTTCATTTCTTTGAATAAGGACACCAGTCATTCTGGATTTAGGGCCCACTCTATACCAGTATGACCTATTAACTAATTGCCTCTCAACCACCCTACCTCCAAATCAGGTAATTTTCTGAGGTACTGGGTACTAGGACATCAATATGTATTTTTGGAGGACACAATTCAACTCACAACACTTGGGAAGTTCACAAAATAATGCTACTTCCCATATTGGTTAGCCAAAACTCTCAGAAGCATATCTTTAGTTTTATGATATTGAAAACATGGTTTCTTGTACATACCTCTTAATCCTTGCTATTAGGTAAAATGCTAATTTGTGTTTACAAGGTGTCTAAATCATATTTTGGATCTTAAACACTCATAAATGTAAAGAAGGTATTCCATCAGGAGATCTGACATGAAAATTTCATTACAGTATATATTTCACTGTCCCTATAAGGAAGAAATAGGGACCACATCTGGAACTCTGAAATTTTAATATTCAAGTTAATTACTAATTATTAACGAAACAAGATGGTAATATCTCATCTATTCTTTGAAAAACTAAGATTTCAAAATAGAGAATTTGAAAGACATGACGGATATACAATTTAATCATATTTCAACCTAGTAACAATAAGCTGCCAACTTAATGTGGTTATCAGTATATTCTAGATGGAACCAACTGCTTCCAAAGATTAACGGGTCCAGCTGGTGTCCACTTACATTTCCAATATGACAGTTTAAACCCCTAGAACCCATGTTTATGTATCTTCTTTCCTTAATAAATTACGACCTAATTTTTCAATGTTGTTCTCAGTATAAGCGCCATGACTAATAGAATGAAACACGTGAATTCTTTCTACAATGATTTGGAAATTCGATTCAAAGTGTGTACCCTGTATGTGTGTACATACACGTGTGAGTGCAAGACCATTTGTGATGATGGATTCTGCTCACAGTAGGAATGAAAAAGAGCATTTCACTCAAAAACGAATTTAGAGTAGTTTTATTTTCATGGTGGAGGAGCCACCAATTTCCCTTCCAGTAGACCCAACACAATTCAAAATGTACTAACATCTAATTGGAACGCACCATCTGTTAACTAGAAAAGTGACTTGCGTCACATCTGTCAATTCATCTGTCAGGTTTGGGATGAAGAAAAAGCACTCGTGTAAACTTCTTCCGTGGTTAATATCCGGTGTAATTCATAGCAACACTCTAATGAGTCTCCTAGGCTTTAGGCTTATTTCTTGCCTCCCTTAAAGTCAACTTCTCCTCCTACCACAGAAAAAATAAGAGCGTTTCTTTCCATGAAAAATGAGACAAGCTGGTGCGGGAGTGATTGAACTATGATAAGGGAGTCTTAAAAGATTTATCCAAAAGGAATGTGATTTTAGGGGTCCTGAGGAGAGGCAAATTATCTAGTTATATCTGTAAGCTCCTGCAGGGTGGGAAGGCCTTTCAATAAACTGAAAAGAGAACTGACAACGCTTTCTCTAACTTCCTGTTGCGAAGTTACAAGTAAGGGGCTAAAACCATTCTGCTCAAGGCCCAAGGACTTCAGCTGCTCCAATGCGCCTCTGTTAACCTGGCATTAAAGACGCTGAAGTCCACTTTTCCCCACCCAGAAATAAAGAGGCGAGTCCCCTTCATCCACAGCGTATCCTGGGCGGTATCAGGCGGCTGGCCGGGCTCCAGGCCGCGGCCCTCGTGCTCCGCGCCGCCCGGAGCGCCGGTGCCCCCGCCGGCGCGGCGCCTGTCGGGCGAGACCCAAGGCTCAGCCACGGCCCCCGCGGCGATTTTATGCTTGCAGGGCTGCCCGGGATGCGAGGTCCCCGGCGGCGGCGGGCTGCAGAGCAGCGGCTCCTTAGGAAAGTCGCGCAGAGCAGGAGCCGCTTCCAAGTTGTGTTTTTTTTCCCTCCTAAACAAGCTACCATAAAAATACTATGATCCGAAGAAGACAAGGGGTATCTGCTTACCTTCCGTATTTCTCAAGGTCCCGAAGAAAGAGCAAAAGGAAAAATATAAAAGGAGGCAGAAAATCATAACAAGCTTGGAAAATATGAAACGGAAAAAAACCTACCGTCTACAATACTGAAAAATAGACTAACGGAGAAAATAAAAACCAGGAAACACTCACCCGACAGAGCGGAGGAAAGCGTGGATCTTCCCTGGAGAGCTCGGAACAAACTAAGCCAGAGAAGCCCGGATATAAGGAGCAGGTGTGGACCTGGCGCCCCGGGCCGGTTAACAGCCCTTAATCACCGCAGCTGGCCCGGCGGAGGCCGCCTCTCCCGTCCGCCGCCTCTGCAGAGAGTAGAGAGAAGCTCTAACTTCTTGAATAAAAACTTGGGAACCACACTCAAAAGAAAGCGGTTCGTCTAGGTGCCACACCACTGTGGGTTATCAAGCCCCAGATAAAAGAACAAAGCTTGAGGAAACTCTAGACTTAATATCAGACGCTGAAAAAAAAAATGTAAGAAGAGATAGAAAGCAGCTTAAACTCAGGAATAAATGCAAGTTATGTGTTCTCCCTGGAGATTAGAAAGCACCTTGTCAGCCGAAGGGGGCTGGAGAGGGATTCGAGGAGGTAAGCTGCCCAAATGGGAAAATGCCCGAGGAGCCGACATGCCGCGAAACAGCACTTCACTCCCCTACAACAAGACAGCGCGCCCCTGGCGCTGCGCACTCTCCTTTTTATAATGATAGTGGCGCATGCGTAGTGTTCATACTGCTGACTCACGCTACTGGCGCATGCGTACATTTACCCCTCACCAGGTGCAAGCTGTTGTGAACTTCGGCCTGGGCCCCACGACCTACTTACTTAGGGCTGCCAACACACCTCTATTTTGGCAGTTGTGGGGAGCCGCAGCCTGGCTTTCTCTGAATTCCCCCTTTCGCACCTAGGCCCGCTCTCAACAAAGACCTCGTTGGTCCTTCCATTAAAAGGAACAGACTGTTGGGAAAAACAGGTCTGTAGCTACAAAGGAAAACCACCCACATCAGCTCTATTCATCAACCTAATTCCTTGTGGTCCCAAGTTGTAAGGAGTGATCACCCAGTGTGTTAAAAACAACACAACAAACCCAAAACGGAGTCGCTTATACTAAGCTGCACATTGCCAAACCAAGACCTAAACTTAATTACGGTTTCGACCCTCCCAGAAACAGAAGAGTCAACCAGGAATCACCTGATCAGCACTAGTTAAGTAATCTGCCTGAGACGCCGCTACCATCCCCTAATGGAAAGCAATTGTAATAACCAACCCGCTTTTTCTGGACAGTATAACTTCCTTGTTCCCACTTGCCTCTGCCTGTAAGACACTCATATTGTACAGCTCCCCTGTCTGCTAGATCGGATGCTGCTCAACTCGAACTGATTTTTATTCAAATAAATTGTTAAAAAAATAAAATAAAATAATGTGATTTGCAGCAACATGGATAGACCTACAAATTGTCATGCTAAGTGAAGTAAGCCAGAAAGAGAAATAAAATACCATATAATATCACTCATATGTGGAATCTAAAAGAAAAGAAAAGAAAAAAGGACACTATGAATTCACCTACAAAACAGAAACAGACTCCCAGACATAGTAAACAATCTTATGGTTACTGGGGAATGGGGGTGGGAAGGGATAAATTTGGGAGTTTGAGCTTTACAAATTTTAGCCACTGTATGTAAAAATAGATTAAAAATTTTTTTTCTTCTGTATAGCACAGGGAACTATATCTAGGAATAACCTTTAATGAAAAAGAATATGAAAATGAATATATGTATGTATATGCATGACTGGGACATTGTGCTGTGCTCCATAAATTGACACATTGTAACTGACTGTACTTCAATAAAAATAAATTTTAAAAAATGTCTGTCCTGTATGCTACCAAATACTGAATGCATTTTAATACTTATATGAGAAATAGCTTTTGTCTATGAAATGTTAAGATAGGCCCTCATAAATCATTAGGTTTCTTTGGAAATCAGCAGATAAACTGAATATTAATATATACCCTTTGTTTATTTTCTTGAGATATCCTTATTGAAGTGCATCAAAATACCAGAAGCCAAACTTTTACTATTCATGGGGGAAAACTATGAGAATAAGATATCCTATTGATAAATGCCAGCCACAGAGAGCACACGGCAAAGATGCCGTCTGTTCTGTGCCTCTGCACGGGAAGACCGTGACCTGACGAGTGGAATCTATGGGCAAAAATGAGGCTTAATAAAGGAAAGGAGGTTCTATCTGGTCATTTAAAAGGGAAAGATTCTTTTCAGAGAGAGTGCATTCATAAAAGTGGACTTTGCAGGTTATATTCCCTGCTTTCATTTCCTTTTCCCCTTTCCAACAGCTTCTAATGTTTCTGGTGTATGTACGGGGGGTGGAGAGGGGAGTCTACGTGGTTTCTGGGAAGCCAGCTTTACTCTATCCTCCAGGGATAAAACATGTGACCAAGACTAAGCCAATCAACAAGTTTGAGTCCAGGCCATAGTGACTGGCTCCTGTTTGCATGTGACGTAAACTGGTCTTGGCAGGGTGAGTCTCAGGATCTTTTCCTGGGAGTTTGCCGACGAACGTGCACCCTCTTTGATCCATGGATATGACAGTGAATGTGGAGTGCAAACCAGTGCACATCCTCTTGAGAAGAGGGGGCAATAGGAAGATAAAATGGGCGTAAGGAAGAGGAAAGACAGGAAAGAACAGGATACAAAGAAGCAAGGGCCTTGATGCCACAATGTATCTCTGGATGGAATCATGCCTGAAGGAAGCCATATCTCTGGACCTAGTGACTGTACGTAAAAGTCAGTTTTCAAATTTTTATTTCTGTTACTTTAAGTTTTATGTTATATTTGAGCCTAAGCAAACTTATATAACCCATCACTTGAGTTGCAGAGATACAGGGTGGAAGAGAATTATAATACCAGCATTATGACAGGCTGCTGTGTTGGAGAAATTTGCTACCATTTAATTTGAGCTACTAATATTTGGAAGGGTTTCCTTTTAAAATAAGGACAGACAGATACAGGATTTTTCTATAATGACATCACCATCATTTAACTGGGAGTAAAAGGAGTATTTTAGTAACAATCATGGCAAGAATTGCGCATAGTAAGGCATTTTTCCCATTGTCTTAGCTCCTAAGTACATGTGTGCTTGTGAGTGTGAATATCATTCATCATGTGTTGCAGAGAGAAAGAGAGCAGGTGAGGATGAGTGATCTAGAAGCCTATTTCTGGAGAATGTTTCTAGGGCGATAAGACAATGAGCTAAAAACAGTAACACTGAACTAGCAACCTGAAGACCTACAAACCTTGAGATCTGTGATTCTATTTCACCTGTGTTTGCAAATCATATCCTAGAAACTGGAATCTTCTCTTTGTTTTCATGCTTTTATATCAAAACATTTAATTTATTTTCATTTCTATTTTGTCTTTCTACACTACCAATAAGTGTGATTTTTAAAAAATTTCTGAATATAGTCATTGTTGCTCTAAAAGATTCAATTCTCTTTCCCTGGCCTGTCAAAAAAATTCAATGTCTTCGTCTATAATCAAAAAAAATAAATAAATAAAGTTTCAACTCATTATGTCAGTTTCAACATTTGGGCAAATTACTTAAGCTTATTGTGACTCTGCTTTCTCAATGTAAGTGGGAATCATAATACATTTAGGTTTTTAATGAGTTTTGAATAAGATCATGCAAGTAAAGTGCTTAGCACAGAGTCTGGGCCATATTAAGTACTCAGTGATTGCCTCCATTTGACACGTAACTTAGAGGGCCCATGGAATATCTTCAAATGTTCAAATTTATACTGAGTCTAGAGAAGAAAAATACTATTATATAATATATAAATGCTATTTATATATTACAGACACCAAAACATTTTGCTAGGTATCTTTTCTGTGATGCATAGAAATGAGTTTAGCATCATTATTTCCAATCTACAGATGAAAAAACTGAGGCTCAGAGAAGTGAAGTGAATCTGCACACAAATAGAAAATGGAAAGTTTAGAATCCAACTCCAGCTGTGGTGACCCTCAGCCCAGTATTCTGTCAGTCATCCTGACTCTCAGGTGAAAGAGCTCAGAAGACATCTGCACAAGATGACATGTGTACAGATAAAGAGAAGTTTGAACAGCCTAGAAATTGGTAGACAACCTATGCCTGATACACCATCAAAGATCAATAAGAATGTGTATGAGCAGGTCCAGTGAATGTAATGTACTTACTTTCATCATGTCTTAAAAATATGGAACTTTGAAGAACTGGGGCCATTTTAGTCTATTCTTAGATCTGGATTAAAGAACATCTAGAGATTAAATAAATCTATGTTTCAACAATCAGATTTTGCATTAGGATACTACTTTAATTTTTCATGGCCACTTTACATAGTTTTTCTCACTTCTTTCTTTGTGGCATCCCTCTCTCTTGCATGCTCAGAAAAATATTTAAATGTAAAAAGGTGAAAATTATGGTTTCTAGATTGAGCAATATGAACAATCTCATTTAACATTTTCTTGTAAATGATCTGGGTAAAACTCCTTTACTTAGAAATTTCCAGACTTGCATTAGAATGTAGTTTGGTGTGGGGAAAGTGACAGTTAACTAAGAATAAGCCACAGAGCTGTACTGTGGAGCAATGTGGATTTTGTATGTAGGACCAGGTACGTTCTAGTGAGAACAAACACAGTGTAAAGTAGCACTTTTCTTTAAATTGAAACATACTTGATTTACAAGGTTGTATTAGTTTCAGGTGTACAGCAAAGTGATGCAGTTTTACATATATATAAACATATATGTTCTTTGATTATAAGATGTTGAATATAGCTCCCTGTTCTATACAGTAGGACCTTATTGTTTATCTACTTTATCTACAGTCATGTGTATCTGTTAATCCCAAGCACCTAATTTATCCCACCCTGCCCTTCTACTTTGGTAACCATAAGTTTATTTTTATGTTTGTGAGTCTGACTCTATTTTTTACATAAGTTTATTTGTATTACTATTTTAGATTCCACAAATAAGTGATGTCATGTGATAATTTTGTTTTTCTCTGTCTGACTTGGTTCACTTAGTATGATAATGTCTAGGTCCATCCATATTGTTGCAAATGGCATTATTCCATTCTTTTTTATGGCTGAGTAATATTCCACTGTGTATAAATGTGTGTGTGTGTGTGTGTGAATCTACATGTGTGTGTATATATATATATGCCACATCTTCTTTATCCAGTCATCTGATGATGGACATTTAGGTTGTTTCCATGTTTGCTATTGTAAATAGTGCTGCTATGAACACTTGGGTGCATGTATCTTTTCTAATTAGAGCTTTTGTCTTTTCTGAATATATGCCCAGAAGTGGGATTGTTGGATCATAGGGTAATTCTACTTTTAGTTTTTTAAGGAACCTTCATTCTTTCTTTAAGGAAAGAATACTGGGCCGAGGGTCACAACACCTGGAGGTTCTCCATAGTGGCTGCACCAGTTTACATTCCCACTAACAGTGTAGGAGAGATCCCTTTTCTCCATACCCTCTCCAGCATTTATAGAATCTGTAGAATTTTTGATGATGGCCATTCTAACCAGTGTGACATGACACCTCATTGTTGTTTTGATTTGCACTTTTCTAATAATTAGTGATAGTGAACATCTTAGGTAAAGCCTTTGAA